GGACTTTCCAGACTCCAGAACTGTGAGCCTAAAGGAACCTTTCTTGCTTATAAATTATCCAGCCTGTGATATTCTCTTCCAGCACCAGAAAGTGATTAAGATAAATGGGATGCTGTTTTAAACCTTTTGATGAAATTCTGTCACTTCTTGGTTATTAAGCCAAACTTGAACTCATAAAATAAATCTACATGGGTTGTGATAAACCTTTTTACATTCACCTGAATTTGATTTGCTAGCATCTTAATTTTTTTTTTTTTGCATCTGTTTTTGAGTAGTGTCTGGCAATGTGGTGTGTGCTGTGGGCACTCAGGAGTGGTCAGATGGATAGACTTCTGATTGTACATGGGTCCAGTTCTATGTAGGTCACCGTTCACTGAGGACTGGTTTCCCTCACTCTTCTCTGCTCTAATCCAGCTTCTCTTCATCTCTTGTTAGGGGCACTGTAGAAAAGAGGCCACTTTAATGTTAGGTCCAGTGAAATGTGTTCAAGCTTAGGAGAGCTTTTTTTGGGAGTGGGCACTGGAGATTGAATCCAGAGGTACTTTATCACTAAGTCACACACCCCTGTCCTTTTTATTTTTTACTTTAAGGCAGGATCTCACTAAGTTGCTTGGAGCCTCACGAAATTGTTGAGGCTGGCTTTGAACTTGTGATCCTCCTGCCTCAGCCTCTCAAGCTGCTAGGATTACAGGGATGTGCCACCACACCCAGCTGTGACTTCTAAGTCCCCATCCTTCATCACTGTGTCCTTGCCCCACGCAGCTGGTCCCCAGAGACACCCCCCACCAACATTCTGTCCGTGTGCTAAGCCCTTCCCCCCCCCCACCTCCAGCCTTTGCTTCTGCTCTGCCTTTTCTGCTCTGGCCTTGTCCCTCAGGTCATCATCAGGCAAAGGGCACCACACTGCCCCGTGTGCACGTCAGTCTCCCACCGAGGTGTGTGGGGGCCCTGGGGTCAGGGACAGAGCTTGATGGAGCCGTTTGTTGAATCCAAGTGATGCTAAGAAGTAGCTCTTCTCTTCCAATAAGATCCTTGTGCATCGGTCACCAATGCCTTATTTCCCTTGGATGGAAAGGTCTCCAGGTCCAGGGACAGTGCTCCCAAAGCCCCTGCGCTGCTTGACATGGAGAGAAATAACCTACTGTGACCCTCCTGCCTGGGCAGACTGCCCCGGGCACCTCAGAGGGAAAGAGCCCTGCTGGTTGGCCAGACGGGAGGGGGGGGGCACACTGCTGTCACATTACGGTTGGCTGGCTTGTCACTCACTGGCTTACCTTATTCGCATCAGGGAAGTGGAGGCTGATGTGGTCCTGATTGGCCATGTGTGTTCTCCTGCTTAAGGAAAGGAGGTTTGGAAATGCTAGCAATCAAGCTCTTGCCAGCTCAAATTCTTTTATTTGAAACAGCCTATTCAAGACCAAGCCGTTCCCAGTCTCCTCTTTACTTACTATTCTGACGTTATTCCAGTTGCTCATCACAGTGGCCTCCGGGAAGCTCTCCACAGAAAACTATGATCTCAAGGTCAAGAACTGTGGTCTCAAGGTCAGAGAGCAGGAGGGCCATGCTCAGTGCATCGAGATCTTCATAGCATGGGGACAGAAGTGGCTGGTGTCCTCCCCCCTCCCTGAAAGCAACAGGCTTGGCATCACTGGAAAGAAGAAAGAGGGGCTGGCAGGATTCCTTGGCGTTGGACTTGAGCATGCTGGTGATTGGACCCCGCTGGGTCCTCCCTTCTCTGGAAATGCTGGGAGGGCTGGGCCCGGGTCCCTGGTCTAGGTTGTGCATTCTCACCATGATCGACCACCTCTCCACGGGGACCCCTTAACCAGGCGACCGGTGCAGCGGTTCTTGGCCCTCCCTGCAGGCTGGAATCCTCAGAGGAGGTTGAAAAACAACCCTGCCCCCTCCCCTGCTGGAAATCCTGATTTAATCGGAAGGGCCTGTGCACTGGGGACTTCGTACAAAGTATGTCATGTGACTCTGATGTCTAATCATATTGTGCAGTCCATTAAAAAGGGGCTTGAGAATTCTGGTCTTTGTTCCCCAGGAGTTCACAGTCTAACAGGGACATGCCCATTGTCTCTGGGGGCTGAGTCAAGACCGGGGCCTCTGTGAGTTCCTTGAACTTCAGGGCCTGGGGGACACTTCAAGGTCAAGTGCAGAGCCCCTCCCTTCCTCAGGGCATGGGCCTGTGTGTGAACACGTGGGTGAGTGTGTATTTACTATTGCTGATGAGCTTTAGGAGCTCTTAGGGGAGTTAACACCCTAAAGGGAGTTAACACCCTAAAGCAGTGCTGGGTGGGTGAACCACAGAACAGAGGCTCCTCTGCTCCCGAGGGGGCCATCACTGCTCAGCGGTGGCCAACATCACCATGAAGGAATGCGGCCTGGCTTTGCCACCTCTCCCTGTTTTCCAAGAGAAGTCGGACATCTGGACTTCTTTTAAATGACTTGAGTTTTCTTTGTCGGGATCAATTTTATTAAAATGTGCACACACACAAAGCAGGACAGCAGAACACACCGCAGACTAGAAGAAGCCTGGGGCCCCAGGACCGGAGGGAACCCAAGAACAGCCCCTTGTTTGCAGCTAAAACTGGGCATTTCCACCCTGTCGGGCAACTTGGTCCTCTGACAGTTCAGGGGCTATGGCTGGGGGTGAGGCCTGGGGAGCAGAATCAGCTGCCCTGACACAAAACAATCACCATAGAAGCGGGCTTCCTGTTATCTGCTGCTGCTGCTGCTGCTGCTGCTGTGTGTGTGTGTGTGTGTGTGTGTGTGTGATTGTCAGGGGTTGGAGTCCTCATTTCTTAGTGAAAGATGGCCCACAAAGGAGCCAGTCCTGGATGCAGATGACCCATGGGAAAAGCAAGGAGAAGAGGGATGGCTTTTACCCAGAAAGAGGAAGCATTAGATGGGTAAAGAGTGAACCAGGAGCTCACCAGGGACAGTGCGAGGTGGAGACCGGGCCCTCTGGTGCCCGCCATATGTGCTCTTGAAACACAATTAACCCCTGCCAGAAATGGGTCACAAAGAGGGGGCCAATCTGAGAACATGCCCTGGATGGGAGGCTGCCGGGTTAGGATGGAAGGTGGACGTGAAGCTCCTGGATGCCTTCCACACCCTGGGAGCCTGGTGCAGGTGTGAGAGAGCTCACGTGGGCGGGCACACACGGGGCCCTGATCCACAGGAACCCGGCAGGTGTGGCTCCCATCCACAGTGCGCTGAGCTGGGCCCGGGCTGGACGGCAGCCTCAGCTTGGGGACTCCGGCTTTGAGGAGGTTGGCGGATCCCAAGCTCCCCCACTGGAGAGCCCCCTTCCCTTTCCCCTGCCTGATGACTGGGCAGGACTCAGAGCTCCCAAGCCCTCCCTGATCACGTTCAGGAGCAGGAGCCCTTCTGCAGCCCGGCCCTTGCTGCCCCATCTCCTCCCAACATCATGGCCTTTGCTGTGCGTCTTGGGTCTCCCCAGCTGTGATCTGACAGGGCAGGGCCTGATGCTCCTCTTCGTGTTCCCAGGTCAGTGCTGGGGGCTTGCCAATGCCCAATGAATACCTGAGGCGATGAAAGGGCAGGAGACCAGGAGGGATCTCAAGGCCAGGCCCTGGGCTTCGGGCTCCTCCCCCTGGGGACTTCCCTGGGGCTCGGGCACCCCAGCCCCAAGGGCATTTCCACACACTCCTGCTCCACGGGCCTTCCTGAGCCGAGTGTCTGGTCCAGGGCCATGTGGGAGGTATAGGGCAGGACCCCTGCTCTCCTGAGGCACTGGGCTTGCTGGGCAGAGGAGGCCACAGGGCAGAGGAGGCCACAAGGGGCTCTAGCCCAAGTGCTCAAGACAGTCCTGGGTACTTGGAAAGGCATCCTTGGGCTGGAAGCAGGAGCTCACTGCTCAGAGCAGGCAAGAGTTGGTGGGTAATCAAGGAGGGCTTCCTGGAAGAGGGCAGATCCAAGTCAGATCCTGGAGTGGGTGAAGGAGATGGGGACATTGTTGGGGTGAGGGGAATGGCATCAATGAGGCTAGGAAACAAAACCAAGACCCATACATGTAGGTTGGAAAGTGGTGTTGAGATGGGACCTCGTGAGTTGGAACAGGATGGGTCCTCAGTCACTAGCTACCTGGTCCACCTCCCTATGCAGAGGAGAAAACAACCTACCAAGGTCACTTGGACTCCGATCCAGGCTTCCTGACCTCAAAGACTGAGGCCCTGCCTCTGCCTGCAACTCCTACAAAGAACTACCCCAAGACGGAGACCAAGCCCAGGCTGAGGGTAGGTGGGGAAAGAATACTGCCCCTGGGGGCATGTGCCACAAGTCTGGTTCTTTTCCCTTGTCCCCAGGAGGGGTGTCATCCCTTAAAATAGCAGTCTGAAAATGGCCTCTTCTTCCAGGAAGCCTTCCTTCACATTACGCCCCCTCCATGCCAACCCAAGGCCTGTGCACTTGGTTGAGCTGTCTCGCCTTCTGATGCTGCACTAAGATGTCTCCCCAGGGATGGGATCCACAGACTAGAGCATGGCTCCTGGAGGCTGGCACAGTGCACGTTGCTGGCTGGTGATAATGAATGAATGCAGAGCCAGTCTTGACCTGATCCTCACCTGACCCCGACTCCAGCCTGACCTTGATTCCTAACCTGCAGAGCCTGGTGCTGCCTCCCACTTGCCCTTTAGCAACTTGCATGGCTTCTTGGTGAGGATGAGCCATATCCACTCCCACTTCCAGATCTACAGGTGGCCGATAGGGTTTGCCCTGCTTGCCCCTGGACCCCTTGGGCATCACAGCCTGAGTTGATTTTCTATGATCATGGCCAGCTGTGTGAGGGCTACCTACGCCCTCCTCCGGGGCAGGCCTGGGATCTCTGGGGTCTGGGAGCAGCGGGGACCACACCCAGAAGAGACCAGGGGCTCCTGGAGAAGCTTGTCACGCCTGGCTTCTGTGGGACTGAGGACAGACCAGCCAGAGATGGAAGGTGCTCTCCTGCCCCTCCCCACAGAGCACTTCACAGCTGAAGGACTGAACTGCAAACTTTATTAGAAACGCTCCTCATTCATGGTCAAGTTCACATTGACGAGGGTCGGGGGGAGGCAGTGCCAACTGGGGCTCTGGTGTCCCACTGCTGTGACAATTTCCAGTTACCAAGGAGTCTGGGTGCAGAGCATCTGAAACACACCAGAGATGCCGGACAGTGGCGGCAGCAGCAGCAGCAGCATGGCTTTGCAGGGGGACCAGACTCCCATGGGTGGCCGAGCAGGGCCCCCCCGCCCACGTCCACCCTCCAGGTATCCGCTAGGTCCCAGACTGATAAATAAACAGCACGCCACACACACAGTTGAAACAGGAAATAAACCTGTGGGATTCTCCTAAAGTGAAAAAATAACTCGCTCATGGATGGCTTTGCTACAGCGCAGGCTGCACCCAGAAGGGTGGGCAGCCCAGAGGCCCTGGGAAGGCTGCTCAGCCCCAGGACCTCTTCAGACTTGGGTGTCACAATGCCTCTGTCCCCTTTAGCACCTGTAGACTAAGGGCTGTCCTCCACACACTCCTCTTTTAAAATGCAAAAGCAACTCAAGATAATCATCATCACCGAGGCTCAGCTGTCCTGGGAGAATCTGTCAGAAGCATCCTCCCTGAACAGAGGGGACAGCCGAGCTGCACCTCAGTGGGACGAGGGCGTGGGGCATGGGGCATGGGGCATGGTGCGGGTGGGCGAGTAAACAACGTCAAGAGGTAAGCAGGAGGCGTCTAAAGTTGCTTTGTCCACTCGTGCATTCTGCTGTTGGGCATCCCTGGGGAATAGTCTCTCAAAGTGGCCTCAAGTCCTAAACTGGTGTGACAATCCTGCTAACCTTGGCCAGAGGTGGGGCCAGGAGGGGTGTGGGCAGAGGCTACCCTCATTCTTCTCAGCCCTGGCCCGGTTCCCCTGACCCTGCCTGCAGGGGACACGGAGCAGAAGTCTCCCGCAGCATGTTTCATTCACTCTCTTGAATAGGGAGCCGCCATCAGTCCCGATCAGTAAAGGGGGCCACCACGGCGTGCGTCCCGAAGGATGGGCGGGTGGCAGCGCCTTAGGGAGGCGTGGACGGCAGGGCCTGTGGAGACAGACGATTCTTGTCTGAACTTGTCACACGTCCCGGCCTTTCGGACCCCTCCTGTGCGGGCTGCGTGACCGTGGCCGGCGGGCAGGCCGGTCCCCGCGCGGGGTCACTGGTACTGCAGGTAGTTTTTGAGAGACTGTGGCAGCGGCAGGGAGCCGATGTCCTGCAGGCGCCGACGGCCCAGGGCGGCGCGGATGGATCTCCGGCACAGGTCCATGAGCGGCAGGGGCTCGGCTGCAACGAGAGGGCAGAGGTGAGAGGGCAGAGGTCAGAGCCCAGCGCAGCTCCCCGCGCTGTCCAGCCCCCGCCCCTGCGCTGGCCGTCGGGGTCCAGCGAGCTGGAGACCGCGAAGATGTGGATCCAACTTGAACGAAGCCCACAGAACAAAGGAGCATGGAACCAACTCAACAGGGGTGACTCATGCTATTTAAAAAACAAAAAGAAAAAGGAAAGACCCAGTGCCCATGGCAGGGGTGACTGGAGTTCCATGATCAAGCTCTGGAGCAGGCGCTGAGCGTGTCTCTGCGTAAAGACGCCCCTGACTGCAGAGCGGGACAGAGAATGGCCTTGGCTGGGTCTGCAGCCCCACTTCCTCCAGAAGCTGGACAGGCCGTGGGCACATCGGTCCCTGATACTCAGAGGCTGAGGGCAGGAACGTCACTTCAGATCCCATCTCCAAATAAATAAATAAAGTTAAATTAAAAAGATCAATTTCTGGGCTGGGGATGTGGCTCAAGCAGTAGCGCGCTCGCCTGGCATGCACGGGGTGCTGGGTTCGATCCTCAGCACATAAAAGTCAAGTAAAAGATGTTGTGTCCACTGGGAAAAAAAAATAAGTAAAAAAATCAATATTTAAAAAAAAAAAAAGATCAATTTCCCCTATCGCTGGCTGTGCCGGTCAGGGGAGGAGCGCCTTGTCTCATTTTCCTCTTAACAACTGGTTCTGGAAAAATGAATACACGCAAATCCAGAAGCAACGGAATCTTTGGACAGAGGACCAATGACACCAAGTTGAGGTTTACTGCCGCACCTGGATTGGGCACTCCCTCTCTTCCAGGCCCTCTAACTGGCCCTGGGGATATGGAGATGACCAAGACAGGGCTCAGGCAGCCCTGGAGGTAAGGGAGGGCGCCCGTCCGGGATTTAAACAGGGGAAGGGTTTTGACAGAGGGCAATACTCCTAAATGCACAGGGCAGAAATGGGGCACTTTCTGGGTGGAGGCACCTCCTCCTGGAAACTTCCAAGAGAAGACATCTGAATGGGGTTTTGAAGGGTGGATAGGAGTAGCATGCACATGGAGGTGGGAAGGTGGTCAGCAGACAGAAGAGGCAAAGGCCCAGGGGCAGAGAATGGGAGAGGCTGTGAGGATAGGGATAGTGTTGGCCAGCAGGTACAGGCTGGATGGGGGAGTGAAGATGGTCTAGTGCTGTCCCCTGTGGCTTGCACAGGCCTCATTTTCCTGCACCCCAAGAACATGCCTGAGACCTGAACCTGCGTCTTAACAATTGTTTGGTAACAGAATAAGTGATATTTTAAAAATATTCCAAGTGATATTTTAAAAGCATTCAAACCGTAAGCAGTGAGCACCAACTCAGGAGTTATCACAGGAATGAATGATACCACAGGGACAGGAATGTGGTCGAGAGCGTGGTTCACAGAGACTTTCATTGACTAGAGCCGCAGAGGTTAGAGGGGAGCCGTCAGGATTGAGGTGGGACTTGGTGTTGTGACAGAAGCCACACACTGTACAGTCAGCTCCCCTCAACTGGAACAAAGACCCCAAGTCCTAGACGCTTCAAACACTTCCTCATCATTTCTCTCTCTCTTTCTCTTTTTGCAGTACTGGGAATTAAATCCAGAGACACTCTACCATTGAGCCACGTCCCCAGTTCTTTTTATTTTTTCAGATAGGATCTTGCTTAGTTGCTGAGGGCCTCGCTTACTTGCTGAGGCTGGCCTCAAACTTGCAATCCTCCTGCCTCAGCCTCTGGAGAGGCTGGGATTACAGGTGTGCATCACTGTGCCCAGCCTAACTTCTTTTGCTCCTCATACAACAAGAGATTAGTCAGGGGATCTGGGCATGTCCTCTTTCCAGCCCAGAGGCCCACTGCTCACCCCATCCACAGGGTCGGTGCCCAGGGCCCCTCACCCCTCACTCAGAGCATCCACATCTCTCCTCCAGCAATATCACTGTTCCCTGGTCCCACCATGGCTCCAGAACAAATTTTGCACTGCCCCTGTCAATCAAGCCCCTGTGGGCCCCTCCCTTCCGCTGACTGAGTCCTGTGTTCAGCATCTTGCCAGCTGATCCTCCCTGCCACAAGTCCCACAATCTCCTTTTGGTTCCTGCAGCCCCAGTGTCTGCTGTGTGCTGCTGGGTGTTGGGGAAATCATAAAACCAGCCAGTGCTTATTTAATGAGCAGCTACTTCTTACCAGGCAGCATGAAGGAGGAAAGATACTTGTAGCTGTCTTTACTGAAGGCTTATCAAGTGACCAGGCGCTTTACAAAGCTCTTTATTCATATCAACTCACACACGTACGTACCAAACTCATCACAATAACCTCTTGGGTTTTTTAAGGGGGATGATGCAGAAACAGAGAGATAGTGAGCCACCTGCTTAAGGATGCACAGCTAGGAGTTGCATCCAGACAAATGGAAACTGGAACTTGTGTTATTTCTTAACTGCATTTATTGAGTGCCTGTTTTGTCCCCATTGCTATGCTAGGTTGGTCTCATTGAGGTCTCAAAACAATCCTGTAAGGTTAATGTGACTTGTTCATTCCTGCTTTACAGAGAGGAAACTGAGGCTCAGAGAGGTAGGGAGGCTTGTCCAGAGCCGCACAGCCTACATTTGGAGGGGCACACCAGGCAATTATAGAAGGAGGCCTTGATGAAGGAGGGTCAGTCACCTGTGTCCTGGGCTCCTGGCAGACTGTGACACAACCCCTAGCCTCACTGTCCAGCTCTGGCCACTTTCCAGACCACCGCTGCCCCCCTGTCCTGAATTACTGCACAGAGCTGAGTCAGGACGGTGGTCTGCTGTCCCTCCAGGTGGACATGATGTGCATGGGGTCCATCTGACAGGACCCCAGCCAGCCTCGAGGGGAGGGAAGCCCATGGCAGGTGGGGACTCGGGGAGCCCACACAACACTGGGGCAACAAAAAGGGCATTTTGTGTGACTCCTGCATAGAGTTCAAAAGTGGGGTGACAGACTTAGGGCAGGGGTCCTTGGGGAGCAGTGAGGGGAGGGCCTGGTCCTGCCCCTTGACTCGAGTCTGGGGACATCCCTGTGTCTGGTTGTGGACACCACGAAGAAGCAGCCTTAAGATCTGTGCGCTATTCACGTCAGACCTCAAAACAAACTCAGTCAACAGCCTCGTCCACTGAGTACCTCGACCTGGAATCCCCTCCACTTCCACCTGGGTGGCCAGAGACGGCCGGCGCCTCTCAGAGCCTCGTGCTTCTCATTCGTAAAATGGGAGAGCCACCCCTTCATCTGTGGGCCGTGGTGACCGCGGTGTGACCCAGCAGGCACCGGGCTTCATCTCAGGCCACCAGCCCAAGAGGTGCCCTTAAAAAATGGTCATGGTTCCTTACTGTGTTTCTAAAATGCCTCCGATGTGTCACCCTAATTGAAAACAAGGTTCTGCTCTTGATGAAGATTTCTTGGAGTCAGAGCCGGATGTCTGGTCCTGTGCTAAGAATGTCACAAGGCCATCATGTCCCAAGTTCTTGGGTGACCTGAATTCTCCTTAGTCTTACTCCACAAGTAACCCCTCGCACAATCCCGGGCGTACCACCCAGGACTTCCAAGGCCTCTGCTTTGCCATCCATGAAATGGAGGTTCAGCTCAGTGGCTAGGATGTCTGCGGCTGTGATGGCCTCCATGTCCCCAGGCCCTCTGAAGGCTCCCTGCTTGCCGTGGGGTGAGCCAAGACATGAGGCACCCCACTCCCCTCACCCCCATATTTACATTTTGAAAACAGGTCCACCTTCTTAAGGTCCAAATGTGAAATTCCCCGGTGGGGATTTTGGACAAGTGCCAGCAGATGGGAAGGGAGTTGAGTGACAGCTTTGGAACAGGGACTCAGCCGACCAGGCACTGTGTGTTTTGAGGAACATAAGCAAGAAGACACACGCGGTCCTCACACACACTGCGCGTCAGAAGCGCTGCTCCCTTATCCACAGACCTGGTGTCCACGACTGAGGACTCAGAGGGCTGCTCCCCAGCCCCGCCCGTCTGCTGCTCCTTTTGCCTAGAACGCCCTCCCTGCACTTCCTGCTAGGGCACGCCTCGCCTCGAATCAAGTGCCACTTTCTTCCCGGTGACTTGGCTCCTCTGTCCTCTGGGGCTGACCCGTCCCATGTCAACCCAGCTGTTTAATCATGCAAACAGGCAGGTGCATCATTAGCTGCAATAACGATGCTACTTCTCAAATATGGCCAGCGGAGCCCCCCACTCGCGTCTAGAGAGCACTTGGAATGTGAGTGTCTTCCCAGGACAAGCTTTGCTGTTCCCCAGCAAAATGGTCTAGGAGTCCTCGGAGGCCGCAGCGTCTTCGCATGACCTGTGAGCCAGTGAGCGTCATCCGCACAGATGGTGCCCAGCCCAGGAGGGGCTCTCACTCCTGCCTGGAAAGAGGGCTCTGAGCTCCTCCGTGTGCACAGAGGAGTGTCCAGGGGAAAAGAGCCCTAAATAATGCACAGCCTCCCAGTGCAGCTGCAGAGAGGGGCGTGGGAAACCCCAAGGGAGGGCCCAGAACAGCGAGCGCTTGAACATGTCCCCAGAGTTCTCCACCCAACCTTGTGGCCTGTTTGACAGACAGTGGCAATGGGCTCAAGGGAACAGCCAGGACCTGCACCTGTACCCCTGACACCCGGCATCTCTCTGGAATGAAGGGAAGGTATGCGCATGCCTAACAGAGGCACTTGGCAGGCCAGTAACTGCTTCAATTCCAGGGGGGCAGGAAGCAGGTGGGATAGGAAGGTGGAACATGTCCACCAGGGTGAACACGGTCCCCCTTCCAGGAGCCCAGAGAAGCTCCCAGCTCCACGGAGCAAACACTGGGGTGACAGCCAAGGAACTGTAATCCCAACACCAGGGGTACCCGTGTTGCTGCCTCTGCCCCCATGGAAGGCTGAAGCAGCTCTGTTTGAGGGGCAGCCTTTGTGGAGGACTTGCTCAGCCTGGAGATCCAGCGGAGGCGCAAACAGCAGAGGTGGGGGCTC